AAAAAAAAAAAAAAAAAAAAAAAGGGGGACTGAGAATGTAGCTGTGTGCAAAGGCTGGAGATTCAATCATCAGTATGGTGGTGCTGGCTTAACTTGTTCAATCTCTATTAATCATTCCATAAAAAAAGAGAGCAACTAGGGCAGCGATGGTGAACCTTTTAGAATTTTCAATGATAACAAATAGCCTGCTGCAGCATAAGTGCCACGTTTGCCACCACTGAACTAGAACAAAAAATCCCCAGAGATGATGTCTGCTATAAGATTAAGTGGTTGGGGTAGGGTTGTAGCTTAGTGGGAAAGTAATTGCTTAGCATGTGTGAAGCCCTGGATTTGATCCCCAACAACAGAAAAAAGAAAAATGAGTACCTAAGAGAACACCAAAACAGTGTTCAGTGGGGACAAACCATTAAGACCTGTGTAGTACAGACATCTACATAGGAAACTCAATTATTTTGGAAGAATAGGGAAGGTAGCAAACACTGGAAAATTTTAGTGAGAAAAATTACTAACAAGCCTGGAAGTCTCTAAGAAGAGCAACTGGTTAAGAAAGAGGCATATACAGGTGTGTGCATGGGCAGTGCAAGTATGCCCTGTAACCATGAACTCCCACAAGTAACCACAGCCACAAAACAACAAGGCTGAGGTTACAGCTCAGTGGTACAGCAGCACTTATCTCAAATGTGTGAGGACGTGAGTTCAATCTCCTGCTACGTTAACCAGAAAGTAAGCTCTTCTGCGAACTACACATCAAAGCCATGGTGAGGAGAAACTGCTATGATTACATTCCAAATAAAGTAGGAAAGGAAAAGAGAAACAGAAGAGAACATGATGAGAGTAGGGTAGGACAGAACCTAAAAACCTCACAAAGTACGCCTATGCTTTGGAACCAAACACATAGTAAAGGATGCAAACGAGCAAGGTATGGTGGCACATGCCTGGAATCCAATCACTCAGGTACCTGAGGAAGGAGGCTCTCTGGGAGTTGGAGGCCAGCCTGGAGTCCACTGTGAGTCTAAAGCCACCCTAGACTACATAGCAAGACCCTCTCTCAAAAAAGTCTACATTTTCAGAGTAATGTGAACCAATCATTTTATAAAACAAATCAGGTGCATATGAATGTTTTTACAGAAAGAAACAGGGAAGGTGAAAATAATTACCTAGTCTAAGAAAGAGAAGTCTACCTAAAACAGAATTCAGAGTGGTAAAAGTCACTTTTAATCTGAATTTTTTTTGGTAACGGGAATCGAATTCAGGACCTTGTGCTTGTGAGGTAGGTGATAGAACCACTGAGCTAAATCTCCAGCCCTGAACATATTTTTTAAAGAGTTTCCTTTACACAAATGAGAACTTTGTTTGACAACTTAAAAACCATACTAGGGCCCTACCACCATAGTATAAACTTTCTTTTTTTCCTTTGAAACAGGGTTTTGCTATATTCCAGGGTGGCCTTAAACTGTCTATGTAGTCCAGGGGGACCGCAAATTTGTGGCAATCCTCATGCCTCAACCTCCTGGGTGCTGGGGTTATAAGCATGCTCCACCACACCCAGCTCATAAATTTTAAACACCAGTACTTCCCCTCTTCTAACTGTATTTTAAAGATATAGACCAAACTATAAGGTGACCCAGCATAATGGTAAAGAGTGCAGCTGCCTGGCTCTGTCAAAGTGGGCTAGTTATTCAACTTACCTAGGCCTCAGTTTCCCATCTTAATCTATATTAAACACTGACCCCATGTCTGGCACCAAGATCACATGTTCTGTAACAACTAGCTGCTCCTGTTATTGCTATTAATATCTTTAACCATTAGATACCGTCAGAGTTGGGTCCAAAACATTGTTTTGGATTTCTGAGACAGAGTCTTCCTACGTAGTTAACGTTGGCCTTGAACTGACAATGTAGTCCATGCTGGCCTCAAGCTCACGGCAATTCTCCTGCCTTAGCTTCCCAGCATTCTGGGATTACAGGCATGTGCCACCATGCCACACCCAGTAGTTTTGGCCATTTTTTAAAAAATCAAGCATTCTTAAAAGTGTGCTTTCTAGTCTAGCTACCAAGACAGCCGTACTATTTCCCTAAATGTGATTCAAACTCACATTGAATGTTGAGATGCCATCTTGCTACAGAAAAATGGCTGTTATCAAGAATTCAACTGCTAACAAATGATGGACGGGATGTGGGGAGAAAAGAAGCCTCCTCCACTGTTGGGAGTGTAGACTGGTGCAACCACTGTGGAAATCAGCGTGGAGATTCCTCAAAAAACTAAAACTAGAGGTTCCATTTGATCCAACTATTCTTCTTGGTATCTTTCCAGAAGTACTAAATAAATGCATCATATCATAGTGATATATGCACACCCATGTTTATAGTGGTACAATTTATAATAGCTAAATCTTGGAAACAGCCCAAATGCCCATCAACCAACAAATGGATATAGAAGATTTTTTAAATAATGGAGTACTACTGTGCCAAAAAGAAGGATGGGCTTGAGACATTTATAACTAAATGGATACACCTTGAGATCTTATTCTTAAGTGAAATAAGTCAGACACACATGTTTAAATTCTGCATTTTTTCTCTGGTATGAGAAACCAAAAGTGAAAATAAGAACTACAATGTATAATAGATGTTGGGAAATGGGAAGAAAATGTTTAAATGGGAAGTGAAACAAGGGAGGGAGGAGGGAGAATGGAAAGAAGGAACAAGAAAAAATAGGAAAAAAATGAAAACTGCTTTTGTATATAAGGAGGGGAAGAGAGTTGAGGGGAAGTGGGGATGAGAAAAAAAGAACCAAGATATATCATGTACAGGTACAAATTCCCTATGATGAATGTTATCACTGTGTATATGTATAATGTACCAATAAATGTTTTGCTTCAAAAAATAAAAAATAAAAATAAAGCCGGGTGTGGTGGTACACGCCTATAATCCCAGCACTTGGGAGGCTGAGGCAGGAGGATCACTATGAGTTCAAAATCAGTCTGGGCTACATCATGAGTTCCAGGTCAGTCTCAACTACATAGAGAGACCTTGTCTCAAAAATACAAAAATTAATTAAAAATAAAAATAAAATTAAAAAAGCCAGGCATGGTGATGCATACCTAGAATACCAGCACTCTGGGAGGCTGAGGTAGAGGATCTCAAGTTTGAGCCCATCCTGAGTAATTTTGCAAGACTCTGTCTCAGAAAATAAAAAAGATTGGGAACATAGTTCAGTGAACACCCTGGGCTCAATGCCAGGTACCACCAAAACCCCCACAAACCAACAAACAAAATAGTGATCTAAACAGCTGGGGATACTTGCTCAGTGGTAAAGTGCTTGCCTAACATGCATGAGGCTCTGGGTGTGATCCCCAGTACACCCCCACAACTAAGCAGCAGAAAAGTTTAATTAATAGGTAAAGAGCACAGATACAAATGGATGTGTGGGAGACTGAGGCACGAGGGGCAAGGATATATAGTGAGACTCTTATCTTTTTAAGATTAAATATAAATGCATATAGTATATCTCTAATGGTAACATGGTGAAGTACAAAAAAAATAAATAAATAAAATTGAGGCAATATTCTTCATGTACACAAAAATAGACTATTGGACTTTTTTTTCATTTTTGTTACTTTTTTTGCAATGTTGGGATTAAACCTAGGCCTTGAGCATGCTAGTTGAGTATTCTACCAGTGAACTACATCTCCAGTTCCAGCCCCACCTTACTAACATCCATGTCTTCTATTTGAATCTTGAGTGTGCCCCTCCACCCCCACCCATGTGTTAAATAAAGGCTTAGTCCCCAAAGTGGAACTACTAGGGTGGTAGAACTTTTAGGAGCTGGGAACCAGTGGGAGGGCCTTAGGGAGTGAAGGAGTATGGGAGCCCAAAGGGAATAAGATCCCATCTTTTCCTCTACCTGGATTGTGAGGGCACAAAGTCTGGTCTGCCACACAGTTCCCATCATCCCCATCCAGGGTCCCCACCAGAGTCCCAGAGCAAAAAGTACGCTCAACTTTGGACTGGAATTTATAGAACCATGATCCAAAATAAATATGTTTATTATAAATTAATCACATAAGTTAATTAACTCAGGAATTCCATTATAGCATTAGCTAACACTACATCTCAACTGTACTTCTTTTTCAACTAGTTATAGGTTGAGTAGAGTTCAAAAATCACCAACAATAGTTGTGAATAAATTAACTACACGAAATTTACACTAAAGAATACTATTATTTGTAAATTGTTTACTACACACCATTTTTATCAGAAAACTTAAGACAAACTTAAATACCTAAAGCCAGAAAAAAGACAAAAGGTAACACATGATACCTGAATATCCTTCTTGACTGCTTTAGCTTTGTTCTCTGCAACTTTCTTCCTAAATTCAAGAAGAACTTCTTTACAGTCCTCTAGATGAATCTCGGGCTCCCAAGTATCATCATCTGATGTATATCCTTTCCATCGAACTTTATATAGGATTCTACCCTGTGGTATAGATTAAAAACAGACAAAGAAGATACATTATTGACTAAATTTCCTAAAATACAGAACTGCTGAGAATACAGGAAAAGAACTTGAAAACTTCTAAATGGACATTATAACACATTATAAAGAACGCATGCATATTCATCTCTTGAGGTAAGTGGCTTAAGGAAAAACAGCACCATTATGGCATTTTCAAAAGCAGAAGGCTGAGGTCTTTTTTCTGATTAGAGAAGAGAATATGTAAAACACTGAAAAATAGGGTGGGGATGTAGCTCATTGGTACCACGCCTGCCTCGCAAGCACAAGGTCCTGAGTTTGATCCTTAGTACCAAAAGAAAAAATAATAAAAGTCACCTAAAGATAACAATTTGATCTAATTGCTTCACCCACTGCTTTTATTAATATACATCTAATGATTTTTAAACTATTAGGAACATAATACTGTAATTTTTAATCCTGTATCCTCACGTGAATATGAACTTTTAGTATTTTTCAAAAATACAATTTTTAGTGATTAAACATTATTCTAGCATATAAAAACAAAACTCTCCTTTGTTTACCAAACATTAAGAAAAATTAAAAACTGGGGATTGAATCAGCCTTTGCCCTGAGGTACATGTCAGGGTGCTGGAATTACAGGCATGTACTACCATGCCAGACTGATTATTTCAAATTTTTGTTTTTATAAATAAGCATGTAATACCCTTGTGTATCTGATTAGGTTCTTAGAATAAACTCCCCCCAAAAGAGAATGAGATTTAAACAAAAATATAGCCACATGAGGTCTGTCACCTTTTAAGAAATTTCATACTTCTCGGATAATCTTTCTTCAACATTCCAGAAATTGGGGCGTGCGATACAGCTCAGTGGCACAGTGCTTGCCTAGCAAACGCAAGGTCCTGAGCTCCATCCCCAATACCACACACACACAAAAAAACCAGAAATAATCTATTTCCTTGGCACCCAAAATTCTCCTTTGACTTAATGAGCCAAACTCAAAGGCAGAGAGAGGACGGTCTTCTTATCCCATCGGATCAATATACTAAATCATGAACTTCAGTGTTGTTTACAAAAACCTCAAGTGGACCTGAGTAAATATAAAATATCGGGAAAACAAGTGTAGTCACAATTAAGCACTGCAATAGATTTCTACAGCAGTCTGGAGTTTTCCTAAAGCCTGCTCAATAAAATAATGGCTCAAGACCCACCCCACTATTCCCAAGGTTATAGATTATTATTTTTCCTTAGAAGTATGTTATTAACAAAAGTAAAAAAATCTCATGTGTTAGTACTACTTAACATCAGTGAGAATTGCATATCCTGTATGTAATCCAGCTACTTCAGGAGGCTAAAGCAGAAGGATCATAATTTTAAGAACTAAGTGGGCAACACAGTGAGACTCCACCACGCCAAAAAGTAAAAAAAATAACAACGATAGTAGAAAGTAGAGAACAGCCACATGCAGGCAGACTGTCATCAATTCCCATCCCTGCATGCCAACAGTTTTAAATTCCTAAGGAATGGCTGACTTGCTTGCTAGCAGCTGTATACAGGTTTTAAAGAACAAGGATGCAAATATGCATTGTAAAATAATACATAAATAAATGTCATGTCTTTGTCATACAGACACAACTTTGCTTTTACAAAATTCTCCTCACAGGCTGGGGATTTAGCTCCACCTGCCTTGCAATGTTCTAATTCGATCATAGGTATCAAAAGAAACAAAAACAAAATTCTTCTCACAGGAAGCAAGTAAGGGTTGGTGTATCCTCCAAATGACTTTAATTAGGGAAGCAGCCTGTCCAGATAAAAATTCATGTAATTCCAGCACTCTGCGAAGTTGAAACAGGACAATCACTTGAGTCTATGAGTTGGAGACCAGCCTGGGCAACATAGAGAACAGAGACTCTGTACCCAACAAATTAGCAAACAAAACTCATCAGGAAGATTTAATAATTCTAAATAAAGACTAAAAAATATATCATAAAAACTCAGAGGCCAATTCTCAATCAAAACTGAAGATATAAACAAATCTCTCCAAATACAATCCAACAAAGAGAAAAGGATTATTGAGCCAGGCGTGGTGGCACATGCCTGTAATCCCAGCACTCAGGAGGCTGAGGCAGGAGGATCGCTGTGAGTTTGAGACCAGCCTGGGC